GGGGAGCATTTAGTCTTTCTCCTTTGAGTATGATGCCCTTTATCAGGGTGACTAAGTTTATACTCATTCCTGGTTTGAAGAGAGTTTTATTATAAATGGATACTAAGTTTTGCCAGATGTTTTCCTGAATCTTTAAGATGGTGCTGTAATTGATACAGTGAATTACATTGATTGGGGAGCCTGGGAGTCTTTTTGAAGACATGTTACCCAGGCTAGTCTTGAACTCCTGGGCTCAAACAATCCTCCCACCTCAGCCTCCTACTATAGGCCTGCTCCCCCATGCCTGGCTTGTTGACTTTCAAATGTCAAATCAAATTTGTATTCTGGGGTAAATCTAATTTAGTCTTGATTTATTATCTTTTATAAATGTTACTGGATTTAACTTGCTAATAGTTTATTAAGGATTTTGCATTGGTTTTCATGAGGGGTATTAGTCTATAGTTTCCTTTCCTTCTGGTATCTTTGATTTTGGAATCAGAGTAACATTAGGTTCACAAAATAAATTAGGATGTGTCCCCTACTGTTTTCTGGGAAAATTTGTGTAGTGATGGTGTTATTGCTTCACTTAGTTTGGAAAACTAATGAAATCTTTTGGGCCAGGATTAGAAGACTTGTGGGTCAGCTCATTTCATTTTATTTTTTCCTGAGCCCAATTCTTCTGCAGAGATATGGGACAATTTTAAACCACAGGTTCAGTGTCTGCAGCCATCTTATCTTTGTGGCTCACAGACTGTAGCTACCTTACCCTTCCCAGTGCTGATCTCTGCCCCTGATTCCCTGAGATTCCCACACTTGTTTTGGTCCTGTGACCTAGAATCTACCAGGAACTAAGCAGGGGGCATCCATCTGTCTAACCTTGTTCTTGTTTGTTTTCTCTCAGGGGTAACCTTCCTTTGTTGCCATTTGTCCATTGCCTAAAAACAATTGTGTCATATTTTTCCCATTCTTTGTAAGCCTTTATTCTTATTTTACAGTTAAAATATCTTATCTCTAAAGATACTGATTTTCAAATATAGTTTCTTCTCCCTCTATAGGCTATGTTTTCTCTAATTTTTTGTTTGATTCTTTTGTTCTAATTCTGTTGTAATTCTTATTCTTAACTGTTTTCTCAAGCATTAATCACAGGGTTTGGTTTGGTTTGGTTTGGTTTGTCACCCTCGGTAGAGTGCTGTGGCGTCATAGCTCACAGCAACCTCCAGCTCTTGGGCTTAGGTGATTCTCTTGCCTCAGCCTCTCAAGTAGCTGGGACTACAGGTGCCTGCCGCATGCTGTGGTTTTTTTTTTTTGCAGTTGGGCCGGGGGGGGGTTTGAACCTGCCACTCTCAGTATATGGGGACCAGCGCCCTACCCACTGAGCCATAGGCACCACCCAATCACAGTTATTTTAAAATCTACATATGCTAACTTTCTTATCTGGGTTTGTGGTTCTTTTTCTATTGTCTGTTTTTTGTCTTCATACAATGTCTTAGCACTCCTGGTATATTTTGACAATTGCCTAATGTTACTTATGGAGAAGTGCAGAGGCTCTGGATGTTATTTTCCTTCAGAGAAGATTTGCCTTCTCCTTTCGTAGTAGCCAGAGTGCAAGCAAACCATCTTCAGCCATCCAGGGACTACATGAGCTAGAGGCTGGGGTACAGAGTTTGTAAAGCTCTGTCAGCTTTTGCTCACCCTCACTGCTAGGTGGTAACCCCAGGTGAGAGCTTCACATGTTTGCTATGACCCTTTGGAAAGTCCTGAACTTCAATTTCTGGTTCCATGGTAACAAAGCACAATAGACAATTCTGGATTGCAGCGTAACTTTAGTCTTTTGCTCTGAAAAGCTTAAAAATTCAGTAAATTATTTGAAGGACAAAACACTAAGTGTTGGGATCACTTCTGTATATGTCCCTTTGCTCCCAAATGTTAAATTATTAACTCTGCCTCTGGTAACATTTCATGTCTCCAGATAGATATCCTTTTTTTCCAATTCAGATTTTGTAGTTGTTCTACAGAAATACTGGTCAGCCACAGGCTACTCTATTTTGGCCAGAAGTCAAAAGTTCTTTATGTTTGGTATTTAACTTTGATCATCTTTTGTTTTAAGCATGGATGTATTATTCTGAACTCAATAGGATTTCAGTCTTAAAATATACTTGCTTATCTTGCTTTTCAGTAAGTAATTTTTTTTAATTATAGTTTTTTGTACAAGATTTTCTGAAGTGAGTGGGAAAGGGAACTGATGAGGAAGCTTGTTCTTGATAAGAATCCCCAGGAACTAATTTATCACCTTTGTTTAGAATGTAGTCTTTAGTACATGTGGTCCCCAAGGTACAAACATCTGACTTACATACAACTCACACTTACAAGTGGAGGCTATTATAGATAATAGGTAACTAAACCTGTTCCAATTTTCCTCATGTAGCTCCCACATTATTCATGTAGGTTTGGAGACAATGCTTTCTCAGCACAATAGGAGGTCCTTATTTTATCACATTAGTAGATTCAAGCATATCACACAGCCTGTCTGTCTGAATGCTCACGTGAGCACATGAAAATGTTGGCTTTAGTAGTTAAAGTTGAAGGTTTTTTCTATCAAGTGTTGACCTCTGGTTTCTTGGTCTCTTAAGGCCACATCTGGGTTGTCTTCAGACCACATAATTAGAATAGACAGGGTGCATGCTTTTTGTCAACCATAGCAGAGTATAGTCTGTGTCAGGTTTTTTTTATTTGAGGTGTGGAAAGGCAAGTAACTTTTCTGATCATAGAGCAAATAAGTGTTGTACTCAGGATTCCAGCTCCCTGTACTCTGGCTTTACCCACTGTGCATTAGGTCAGCTGCTGCTGAGGGCCTACGTTTATTTCTTTTCCCCCTTCTTTCCTTCCCTTCTACCTTCACTTCAAGAAATCTTCAAAACTGCAACCTCTTTGTTGGGGCCCATGTTGATGTTTTACTAGTATAAACAGACATCTGTATTTTTAATGTCTTTCAGACTGGATGGCTGTGCCTGTGAGTAGGAAATCTCTCAAGGCAGGTATCCCTGAAGAACAGGATCAGTGGACACTGAAGGAGAGATTTAGTAGAGGCAGTGATTGGAAGTGTGCTGTCCTGCTGGAATGCCAGTGTGGGGACCAGGACACGAGTTTACAGCAAGTGGCTCCTATTCTCCACAGCACCCCATCTGGGGTGAGTGGACAGAAATGTGGGGCATCTGGGAAGGGCTACCCCTTGAGCTCCTCTCTCATCCAAAGGCAGGGGTTTCAGCCTCATGAAAAAGCCTTTGAGTGTAGTGAGTGTGGAAAAGTCTTTTCTAAGAGTTCGACTCTTGACAAACATCAGAAAATTCATACTGAACAAAACGCAAGTCAGAAAACTCATATTAAAGAAAAACGATATGAATGTCGAGAATGTGGGAAAGCCTTTCACCAGAGTACACACCTCATTCATCACCAAAGAATTCATACTGGTGAGAAGCCCTATGAATGTAAGGAATGTGGGAAGGCCTTTTCGGTGAGCTCCTCACTCACTTACCACCAGAAGATTCATACTGGAGAGAAACCTTTCGAGTGCAACTTATGTGGAAAAGCTTTTATCCGAAACATACACCTTGCACATCATCATAGAATACATACTGGAGAAAAACCTTTCAAATGTAACATATGTGAAAAAGCCTTCGTGTGCAGGGCACATCTTACCAAACATCAGAATATTCATAGTGGAGAGAAACCCTATAAATGTAATGAATGTGGGAAAGCCTTTAATCAGAGTACCAGTTTTCTGCAGCATCAGAGAATTCACACTGGAGAGAAACCCTTTGAATGTAATGAATGTGGAAAAGCCTTCAGGGTGAACTCTTCCCTTACCGAACATCAGAGAATTCATACTGGAGAGAAACCTTACAAATGTAATGAGTGTGGGAAAGCCTTTAGGGATAATTCATCCTTTGCACGACATCGGAAAATTCACACTGGAGAGAAACCTTACAGATGTGGGTTGTGTGAGAAAGCCTTCAGGGACCAATCAGCCCTTGCCCAGCATCAGAGAATTCATACCGGGGAAAAACCTTATATATGTAACATATGTGAAAAAGCCTTCAGCGACCATTCAGCCCTTACCCAACATAAGAGAATTCATACTAGAGAAAAACCTTACAATTGTAAGATCTGTGGGAAAGCCTTTATCCGAAGCACACACCTTACTCAACACCAGAGGATTCACACAGGAGAGAAACCCTATAAATGTAATAAATGTGGGAAGGCTTTTAACCAGACTGCAAACCTCATTCAGCATCAGAGACATCATATTGGAGAGAAGTGATACACAGTTTGGCAGAGCTTCAAGACTGAACATAAGAGAATCCACATTAGAGAATGACTATGAAAGCTTACACCAAGATAGTCACTTTATTTGATAAGAATCAC